AGACTATTGCGCCGCGCCTTGCGCCACATTGAACCCGGTGTATGATAGGGCCCTTAGTCTCTGATTGAGGTCGCCACAGCGGAATGAAATATTCCCCTATATGTTTTGCGCAGTGGATGCCCTTCCAGCAGCAACCCAGTACTGGAAAACGCCCATTCACACACACACTCATACACTACAGTCAATTTTGTTTACCCAATTCCCCTATAACAGATGTCTTTGGACTGTGGGGGAAACCGGAGTACCCAAAGAAAACCCAGGAGAACACGGGGAGAGCATGTAAACTCCACACAGAAATACCAACTGGCCTGCGACCTCCTTCCTGTGAGGCGAACCACTGAGCCACCGTGCTGCCTTTTTTAGTAACAAGAGCAGGCGCAGCCATTGGAATCTGATTGGCTCAAGACTTCCAGTCACTTCCATTGATTTTTAGCCATTAAAGCAGGGTGTTTTCACACGTCTAGTTTCATAAAAGTATGGAAAGTGGGTGAGTCCAGCTTTGTTAAGTTGGGAGTGTCGTGTGGCGAAAGAGGGAAGGGTTGGCATGAAAAGGAGAGTGTCAGTTCGAGCATGTGCTGATTTTTACAGCAGCAACACCAACACAGATGCAGGGCAGATAGACAGTAGCCCCTTTCACACATACAGACCTTTCCGGAAAATTGCCGGCAATTTTCTGGAAAGGTTGTATGTGTGAACAGGTCCTTTTTGAAAATACCGGTAAATTCGTTCTGGCTATTTTCCGGAAAGAGAAGTTGTAACATTACCGGCAATTTGCCGGAATGCTGCGCTGTGTGAATGCAGAAGGAAGATTCCCGTAATAAGCGCGTGCACGTCTAGATTGTGCTGAAGTGAGACGTCTGCTTTAGCCAATCACAACAGTCAGACGCATTTACGTCCGCGCGGTTTATGACAATAAAAACCTTTGAATATTTTTCCAGACACATTTAGCTGCTAGAAGTTAGTCAGATCACGTTTATATGTTCTTCTTAATGCCAACCGTGTAAATAATCATCGATGAGAAGCTCATGATAAACCGTTGTTTGTTTACCTTCAAGCTTTGCGTGTGCATGTGAAACAGCCTGTGAGCGCCTTCACACGCACATATTATGAACATCTCGACATGAGAAAGTGATCCTGCGAAAGTTGTTCACAATATTGATCATCTACAGAGTTTGTAATGTAGTCAAATGTTTACAAATACAAGCGCAGCCGTTTAAAGCTCATTTGTGGTGAATGATGTCAGAATTTACCGGTATTTTGAAATAGAGTGTAAATGCTCTTTTCCGGAAAATTTCCGTAACGTCCTCGCCTGTGTGAACAGCGCTTTTTTGAATATACCGGTAAAGTCGTTCCGGACATTTTCCAGATATTTACCGGTATCACTGTGTAAAAGGGGCTAGTGACTACGTTTACTTGGACATCAGTAATCAAATTATTTGCCAAATTATTAACTTGTGGAATTTAACTGCAGTTTGGCACTTTTATTCAGGAACATTTCATGCATGCCACCAGTGACAAATAAGATATTGGATGTGAGGAACTGCTGGAAGAGTGTTTGTGTTAATAGAATGTTTGATACCGTAAGGTGAATGGGGGGAAAAAACAGCAACTTAAATGCGCACAGTAGGCAGCATGAGAAAGGTGCTTGCGTATAGACCACGTATGGGCAAACTTGATCCTGGAGGGCCAGTGTCCTGCATAGTTTCAAACAGACCTCCCTATAGAGTTCAGTGATCTTGAAGACACTGATTAGTTTGTTCAGGTGTGTTTGACTAGTGTTGAAACAAAACTCTGCAGGGACACCGGCCCTCGAGGATCAAGTTTGCCCATCCCTGGTATAGACTATTCTATCACAAAATGCGGTGAACATTCTACACGACGGTAATAGTTTGGTTGCAGTGTTTACATGTTTGCACTCAAAGAGCAGCATTTACAGTGGATCTTTCAGTTCATTGTAGTGATATTAACGTACTGTAAACTTAGTAACTAAATAATTTTGACTAAGGTATGTCTTTAAAAACTGAAACAGTACTGCTGACGATACTAATTAACTTTGCCATATGAATAAACATAAATAAAGAACACTGATCACACACACTTAATAAATCTGTAGAAACAGAACAATGAACACCAACTGGAACTGCATCTTTTTTTTTTTTTTAAATACGAAAGACAAATCCGGATTTCACCATTTCCAGATGCGAAAAGCTCTCGGGTAATAAATGTTCCTTACAAATGGATTTTTGTTGCTTGTTAGCAGACCACTGTAATCCACAATACCAGCTGTGGTGAGTCCGGCTGCGCTCTCATAGCAGGGAAATGGAAACAAAACCTTTGTCGCAGCACATTTATAAACGCAATACTGACGCTCCATGTCTCCAAACAATTCTTCTTCTTCCACTTGTTTTAATTACGGTTGGCAACACAACGTGGTGTCTCTCTGCCACACTGTAACAGGTAAAAGCAGTCTTTGAAGCAGTCTTTGAGCAGGCTTTCGGAGGAACTAGGATTCTAAGAATCCTAAGGAAATATGACAGTCGTTTTCATGTTAGCAGTATATAATTAAAGTAAGATACAATTGAAGTCAGAATTATTAGCCCCCCATGAATTCTTAGCGCCCCTGTTTATTTTCTTCCCCAATTTCTGTTTAATGAAGGGAATATTTTTTTCAGCACATTTTAGGGATGTAACGGTATCAGAATTTCACGGTACGGTAATACCTCGGTATGAATGTCACGGTACGGTATTTATTGAATCATTTACAGGAAAAAAAAAACTTTTGAAAATACTCCCAAAAAAGTGCCAAAAGTGTCAATGACATACAAATTAGCCATCTATCTGTTAGCTTTGAAACAGGAACTTCAATTTTAATAACAAAAAATTATTAAACCATGTAAAAAAATAAAGTTTCAATTTAGTATTGTTAAAAACTCATCACATTCAACATTTAATCACTCACTTAGATAGAGATGGGTTTAAAGGAAAATTATCATATAACTATAATCTGGTAAAAGCTGGTATCTCTGGGTATTTACAATGTCCCCTGCAACAGAAAAAAACCCTCTCATTTGGGACTGAGGATTCTGGGACAGAGAGATATGACTTGGCCCATGTTGACAGCAGTGGGGTAACGTTGTGCATTGTCTTTCCCACACTTGAGAGGACAAACCATGAGTGAGATAGATAGAGGTCTCTTTGCGGTACAAGTCAATGTCTGCATCAATCTGAACAGTGTGCTGTGTTTCTGCAGTCCCCATGACTGTTATTAGTCGTATTCCCCAACTTGCAGGCACGTGCACACATAGGGCTCAACCTGTGCAGTGCACATGCCCTTTTTAGTCTTGGATAGAAAATGCCCTTCCAAAACGATCAAAAGTGCCCCCGCGACGCGACACAACCTCCGTCCAGTCCAGCCCTTCAGTAGGCGCGCGATAACACCTCTCTTGAGTATGCGCGCTCAACCCCCCCTCGGCGCTTTACAATACGCGCGCCACAACACAGCTGATCAGAACGCGCGCGACAGCACCGCTATTCAGCACGCGCGCGGCGACAACACCCGCTTTAGGTTCGATCATTTCCATCTTTTTTTCATCTCCGCTACTAGCAGCACACTCCATTTCCGCATTACTGGATCTGTAGCGACAACAGACCGCAAAGGATTATGGCCACGCCGGGGCTGATGGGAAATGAAGTTCCAGCTACCTCCCGTTCGCTTCATTCGCCTGAGCAAATTTTCTCAGAAGACCTATAGTTTTACCGAGTCATGCGACTTCGGTAATATCGAAAAAATTTAATATTGCGGTATGACGGTATTTACAATACCGTTACATCCCTAGCACATTTCTAAACATAATAGTTTTAAAAACTTATTTCTAATAACTGATTTATTTTATCTTTGCCATGATGACAGTAAATAATATTTTACTTGTTATTTTTCAAGACAATTCTATGCAGCTTAAAGTGAAATTTAAAGGCTTAACTAGGTTAATTAGGTTAACTAGGCAGGTTAGGGTAATTATGCAATTTATTGTATAACGATGGTTTGTTCTGTAGATTATTGAAAATATATAGCTTAAAGGGGCTAATAAGTTTGTCCCAAAAATGTTTTTTTTTTTAATTAATAACTGCTTTCATTCTAGCCGAAATAAAACAAATAAGACTTTCTACAGAAGAACAAAATATTATCAGACATGCTGTGAAAATTTCCTTGCTCTGTTAAAAATAATTTGGGAAATATTTAAAAGAGAAAAAAAATGAAAAGGAGGCTAATAATTCAACTGTAAATGAAAAAAAAAGTGAATTTCTAACAAATAAAGGATGAGCACACAGTGTTTTGCATCTTATAAACACAACCAAGCCTTAAAAATACACTGTGATCCACCGCTTGAATGTATTGTCAAACACACTTGTTTGTGGAGCGAGTAATTTGACCATTTACTGTCTGTTTTTCTAAGTCATTTCTTCAAAATCCAAATGAATCAGAGACAATTGCTGATTAGCATTGCAGAATAAGGTGTATTTGGAATAATAAAAAGCAAGCTGTGGTTTACAGTGAATTTATATCTGCTAAGGGGGTTTCAACACTACCACTTATATGTAATAAATTCACTGTAAATGTGGCCTTTTGATAGTTATTGCTTTAATACAGCAGGAAAGTGATGTAAAATCTTCCAGTGTGGTCCTTGCTGACCATTTAATAATATCCAACTTATGGACAAGCATTAAGGCACGACCTATCAGACTGAAGAACATGAAGAAATACTGCGCTGAGGATGAATATTTCAGCAGATTTTATATTACTCTGGGCCGACGGCAAACCTGAGCGGGAGCATGCATTATTCATGTCAAATGAGAAGGGAGAATAACATCAAATGTTTGTCTGTCTGCTTTTACTGCGTGAAATTCTCTGTCGAGCAATCCGGACGGAGGCTGAGAATTCAGTTCGATTTGAAAGAAACAGAAACGAGGAAAGACAAACAGGAAGTGGCATTTCCTCCTACCTATCTGCCTCTCGATGTCTGCCGCTTCCTCCGGTGTGGCCCGGGGCAGGACGCCCGGGTCGCTGAAACTCGCGCGGAGCAGCATTCCCATTACAAAGACGAACAACACTCCTCCGATGGCCGGAATGGCGGGAGTCAGGTTTGATGCCAGGAATGGGCAACTGGAAGAGAGAGAATAATCATTTTAAAAGACTGTCCATGAGGGTCATGCGAGACTAGTAAAAGCCACTACTACTAAATACTTGAGATATGAAAATACCATAACAAATAAGCTCTGCAGATATAGGCCACTTCCCAATTCTATTTTTGTACTCCTTCCCCTTGGCCCTTACAACCGAGGGTTAAGGGGAAGTGCTTCAGAATTTACTCCTAAGAATTGAGACAGCACTACAGCGCCTGCACACGTCATCATATGTCATCACGATCTCTTACTTCATATGAGATATGAATTTATTCCAGTTGTGTTAATTTTTGGTGTTTATCTTCAGGAAATCACTGAAGGCATATATCATGCTGTCATAATGATCTAATGTGACAATAAGATCGTAACTTTACTGTGCATTTACACCGTGGCCATATTCATCAATGTAAACACACCAAAATAACATTATAGCAGACACTGTAAAAAGCCAATCCCTGCTACTTAACATTACTGACAGGGTATTCGAGAGTCATCGAGTGTCAGAATGTTGTGGGACTGCTGTACAGGAGTTATGATTTTGGAATATAGATCGCAAAATTTAGCGATTTTTATTTTAGCGTTTTTTTTTTTTTAAACTAGCGCTGGATTATATGGCCAAAATGTATATCACGATATATTTCTTAATTTTGGTTGATACGATATAATTCAGATATCGATATGCACAATATTAAAAAAGCCAGGAAAAAACTGCCAAGAACGCACACAATGGTTGTCTGTACCTACACATGTCTGCAAACTGAATTTGCAAAGTCTATAATACCTCCAGGCTCTTACAACTTTTTTGTTGTAAACAGTGCAAAAAAAATGAATGTTTACTTTTTATTTGTATTCAGCCTTTACAAACAAGAAATGTAAAATAAACTGTCAAATAAAACTCTCAGACTCTAGATTTTTTTATATATATATATTTTTTTTTTAAATAAATGAATAATATATAGAGATGACCAATAATATTAGCTTGACCAAGGTGAAAAAAAAAAAATAATTCAAAAAAAATCAAAAAGAGTATAAGCTACATTAATATTTGTTAATATTTTACTCAAAAGTATATATGTTTTCTTTACAAAAAAAAAAAAAAAAAGTACATCCTTTTAGGGTATAGTAAAAGTAGTGAATGTCACCGGGAGTCAAGGGAGCGAAGACAAGAGGTTGGATCCAAAGGCAAATTTTAATGAAAAAGATTATTCGTGCAGGCAAAAACAATTGAGGTCAAAAAACAAGAACTCAGGTATCATGAAGGGCATCGAAAAATGCAAAAACAAAGCGATGGACAAAGTACAAAAAGTTACAAAACAATCATCAAAACATAACTAGAAAAACTATAACCAGGACGACACTCACTGAAACCATACAGGTACTGACAAACAAAGATTCTGGATTGACTGGTGTGTGCAATGTGTATAAATAGTCCAAACAATTGATGATATCAATATTCAGCTGTGTGTGATTAATGGTGACTGGTTTGTGCAAAGGCATGCTGGGATACGTAGTTCCTGAATGACATGTGTAGTATGCCAGCGATCTTTCAGTAACAGATTGCTGGTTATGTGACTGAATTGGGAGGCAGCATTTTTTTTTATCTACGCCAATGTTTTAATGAACAACATAAATTAAAAAATCCCAAATCTAATGCATTTTTGAGAACCAACATAAAAAAGCCTTAAAAAATACACTCATTTCAGTGTTTTTGCGCACTTAGAAGTTAATGAAATGTACCACCATCTGCTAGCATAAACAAACAGTCTGTGGCACGAAGCTCCAAATCAGCCTACCATAATATCTAATGGCCTTTAGACTCCTAGACATAAACATTTCGAATGGCATGCAATGCGATCTGATGCCTGCTAAATTGGCTAAGCGCAACTAGGCATAGCAATTGAATTAGCCAAAATAGCAAGATGCTATCTACTAGCATGCTAAAATAGCAATCCCACAAGGGAGCCTTTAGGAACGTTTCTAGATGTCATTGTCAGCTTTAGAGCATACAAAAGTCCTCAAAGTGGTCTCCGTGGAAAGGTTTTGAAGTTCTGACAGATGAAGAGGTTATCTAGGGTCACAAAATCCTGACTCACAAAGACTTTCATTATGAAAAGAGCTAAAGTCCATTATAAAGTCACACATTTTCTATCCGAACAGTGATAGAGGTGTCAAAATACCTCAATAGTGAAATATCTACCCTTTTCTTCCTTGTTGCCTGGAGATAAATGATTTGAAAATTCAAAAGGAATGTTTGGGCTCATTAAATAGAGAGAATTTGTGGTACTGATAATCACAGACAACAAATCTGACTAATTCTCAAGGCTTATTTCCTTCACCTTTGACAATTAATGAAGTTTGTTCCTCACCGCTGTCAACACAGGCAAGCTTGGTTTGGGACTTATCGAGCTGCGCATCGATGGATTTGCTCTTCAGTGTTTGGACTTTCAACAGTGAAAATTAAACCACACTAAACTGAACTGAACATTAAGGGCCCTATCATACACCCGGCGCAATGTGGCGCAATAGTCTTTTAGTAGTTTCAGCTTGGCGCAAGAGTTGTTTTGAGGCGTTGCGCTTCTCTGTATAAATAGCAAATGCATTAGCGCTCATTTTTGCGTCCATAAGCGTTCTGGTCTAAAAACGAAGGCGTTCTAAGGCGGACCGCTGGCGCGTTGCTATTTTGAGAAACTAAATTAGATTTTTCATTAGACCAAAACTAACACGATCTAAACTCTATCGCAGAGTTGCGTATCGCTTACACATACGTACAATAATACGTACAAGAGAGCAATAGGCAAATATCTTTACATAAGAAAAAATTTAAATATTAAGGATTTATATAGGATATAATAAGAATAGATATAGAATATAAATATAAAGGATTAAAATATTACAAAACATATTATTTTCTAGCCTACATAAATATGAAAAATCACTGCTTTTATGTCTTCTTCATCTCAGGAGGCTTTTTCCCATTCATTCATAACAATTTGCTTTTGTATAATGTTATTATTATTAGCAGTATTATTTATTATATCCATATTTATATTTGTTTTATTAAAAACAAGCTTAGATTTGCCCACCTGTCGGGTTTTAGACCATATGGGGCACAGCAAGTGTTTTAGGATATAACTCAGTATTTTGAACACACTTTGTCATTATTGTTCATTTATTCGTTTGCTGGAAATTAGCACTGAATTTAGGAATAGTTTTGAAACTAATATTTGCGCTTAACAAACAAAATTAATTATTTATAGACTAATTGATGTCTGTGCGTAAAGGTTTCCCTACCCAAGAGCTAAAGTGAAAGTGATCCATTATCTCTCATTCTCACGCAGTAGATGCTCTGTTTAATAGTTTTCTGTTAAAAAAAACTGTTAACTGTTTGCTTGTGAAATGCTCATTTTTCCACTTAGACTTACTTTGCATCCTGTAAATAGCAAATGCGCTCTTGGCGCGACGCAGCTGGCTCTTAAAGGGAATGGGAGATGAGACTCTAATTGGTTTATTTTCAAAGCACACCTATAACTCATTAAGAAAATAAACTCAACCCTTTTAGACCATGCGCCATGGCGCAAAGCGGATTTTCGCGTCCTTAAATTAGCAAAAATGCGTCCTGACACGCTCTGAAAGCGTTTGCGCAAAATAGAGCCTTATCTCTGAAAACTGGACCGACGCAGTATCAATTTACTAGAACTTTAACATAATCTACATTGTAATAGTTCCATAGAAATAAAGATAAATAAACAAAAACAAACTAGCTTCTCAGCTTGCAAAACTAGAAATACTATTGTGAAGTTTAAATTGAAGTCTATAGGGCTATAGTTATTGCACAGGGATATAAAATATATCAAATATTTTCAAAAGTAAAGCCAAACCAGTTTATTACATCTGTGATATTGTGAGTTACATAGAGAAGATTTTAAATGAAATTTATTCCTGTGATGCAGAAGCTGAATTCTCATGAGTTCAGAGTCAGATTTATATAGCATTGCTATTTAAGCTAACTAATGTATATATTTGAAGACTTTTGCTTAGGAAAAACTTGTGAAGACCATCAATGTTTCAAACAATTCAGATTTTTTTCTGTCATCAATAGACAACTCAAAACAGGATGTGCGCAGGTTTTATAACAGAAACGCATTAGGTTGAATAGAAGTTATACTCAAATCAATTTGGACCAAAAGCCAACAAACATATGTTTTATTTATTTAATTGTCTCCACAATAAATACACTTGTTTATGTTTTATGTTTGTTGTAAATAAGGGTGTATTTACACTTTTGCATAATGCTGTGAATAAATTAGGATTGTAAAGAGCATGTGCAGTAAAAATGTGAAACATACATATTCAGTGTCTTGTACTCAGATACCTCACTAAATGCAGTGATGTCTAACTTTACTGTAGTTTTCAAATGGCTGTGCAAATAGTATACAGTGCTGTCTTGAGCATTTTTAGCAAAATCTGACTTTTTTTTGCATTGAAAAAATGTACAGAGTAAACTGTCATAATGAAAACATGACTAAGCCATTTGACTATCTTGTTCATAAACAATGGTGTCCGGACTTTTCATTTTGATGATACTGACACTTTGATTGACATCAGTACTTGCTTTTGAGGAATGAACTATTCCATTTTGAGCAAGTGACGCGCTTTTGCAGGTTATCAGCTAGGTTTTGCAGTTTGCACTAATTGTTTTGCAGTTTGCATTAACTGTTGTGCAAATGTAAATAGTGTGGTGAGAAATGCACCAAAGCGTCTGAGAAAAACTGTAATAAGTTAATCAGGTTTTAACTCTAAGCTTTAAGTCACACAAAGTTTAACTTCACATTTTTAATCAGTTTGACTGATAGAAGTTGAGACGACTAGAAAACTTCGTTTGATTCCACAAACAATTTGGCTAGTTGGCCAAGTTGGGTTTTTTTTAACCATTTCCAAATTTCTGACTGGTAAAATGAGCTAAAACTATTTCTTTTCTGT